TTTAATTTTTTTGGGCCAAGTAGAATTGGGCCCAAGTCTATTAAGCCGTAAGGCATGCAGAAGCAACAGAACAGGGAAGTAAATTAGTTAATGAAGTTTAATAATTATTCATTATATTACTAATATAAATATAATATATATATATATAATATTTTTATACAAAAAAATAAAACGGGACAAACGGGACGGTTCGGGAAAATTTTTATAAAAACCGATACCGACATTGTTTCAACCGGTTCGGTACCGGGAACGGTACGAAAATTTTAAAAACCGATTTGGAACCCTATTTTTCGGAACGGGACCATTTCGGTCCAGTTCGGGACCGGGAAATCCGGTTTTTTTGCCCACCCCTACTTGAATTTGGAACGGTGGGTCCCACGACCGTTTTGCTGCCGTTGAATGATTCATAAGTAGAACCCTCACCCGGCCCGCCAAAGGCCCGTTTGGGAAAAAATTGACATCCCTTGACTATATCCTTAGACATTTTACAATACAGGATTTAGTCAATTTTACTCTTTTTATTTTCATATATATCCCTTTTTCAAATTTTTAATTAATAAATTTGAGTAACTGTTGTTTTATTTTATTGGGCGGTTTTTATTATTTTTGTTATTAATGTCACGTCTATTCTTGTGTCAGTTATCAGAAACTGTTTTTTTTTTCTTTTCATCTTCCTATCAATTAATTGGTTGTTGTGTTTTCAAAATTCTTATGCTTCTTCTGTGTGCTATTTTTTTCCTAGATTTCTTATGGTTTTAACTAGATCAGCAGACAAAAAATGTTCCAATCTTGTGGTTGAGTCTAAGAAAAGGAAAATTTCTGTCAAAAGGCCTTCTCGTTCTTCTTGTTCTCCGAGAAACAAAATGCAAGGGAAAAGGAAGAAAGTTAAAGAAATTTCGTCTTCTGATTATGTGTGTGATTCGGATTCTAGCGTGGATGCTACTGATTCGGATGATTTCGTGTCCGATGGAGAAGATAATTCATCTGTGAGGGGAACTAAGAACCCTAAAAAAATGAGGAAAATATATAGGGTTTCGCGCTTGGAAAAAGAAGGCAAGAGGAAATATGTGAAACGGAAAAAATCTTGTGTCAATAAGTGTTCCCTTTTATCAGAAAATCTCGTTCCTCAGAGTCAATTGAAGGTAATTTTTTTTTCATTTGTTTAATATAGTTCCAGATTTTTAATATAATATTTTATCTTTTACAGGATTGGGACATATTAGTAAAAGATTCATCCACTATTGGATGTAGGCTTCCTAATTTTAATCGTTATGAAACGATTGGAACAATTAGGAACATGTTGACTGAAACTCAACTTGAAATTCTTAAAAAATCTTGCTTTGAGAAGTTTTTTCAATTGTCGTTTGGTATTGTTCAGTCTCAACTAGTGCATTTGGTGCTTCTTAGACAAGTTTTTCAAAAAAATTTCGAGGAATTATGGGTTGATATGTGTGGGAAAATAATGCGGTTTGGAATTGGGGAGTTTTCCTTTCTTACAGGTTTAAAGTGTGTTGGAGCTGCTAGTAAATTGCTTTATCAGTGTCCTGAAGATGGTTTGTTCAATAAGTTTTTTGCATCTGGTGGTCGTCTTACTCGTGAAGCTATTCGTTTGAAGTTTCTATCTCGTTGTTGGTCTAATGATAGTGATGCTGTGAAACTTGCTATCCTTCATTTTCTTGCCAATTATCTCATGGGTAATGAACTGACTGTTGGTTTTGATCTGAACTATGTTGCTATCATTGATAGTGAAGATTGTAATGATTATCCTTGGGGCAAAGAGATATTTGAATATTTTATTTCGCATATTGTCGGGAAGATTTCTGAAACTAAGACTTCTGTTTACAATAAGTGTCGGGGTCTTATCGTTGTGCTTCAATGGTGGTTTTATGAAATTTGTAACAATGCTTTGGGTCTTATTTGTTTGAAAGATGATTCCTTGATTTCTACGATTCCTCGGATGTTGAAGTGGAAGGCTGATAATTCTTTTGACCGAGAATTTCTTGTTAGAAAGTTCTTCTCCCTTCATCATGATCAGGTTTATATATTCTTTTTTTTTTAACATCTATTTTATGATTATATTTGATTTTTTTTTTTTTTGATGTTTTTGATAACTTATTTTTCTAATTTTTTTGATTGCTGATTGTGTTTTTATATATATATATATTTAGTTCTCAAATATTGTTCCAACTGTGGAAGAGATTGAAAGGCTGCATCTGGACAATCTCTTTAATAAAAACAACGAATTCATTCGTCACGAAGATGTGAGGTATAATGGTAGTTTTGCACCTTCGACTTCGAACAACTTTGATGAACAAATACGTAATCTTGTGTCTGGTCAGTTGCAATTACAAGCTGATCTTAATAGCCTCAAGCTTTTAGTTCATAATTTCTCTGCAAAAGTGTTTGAAGAGTTCAAAGTTGTTCACTCTACGTTGAAGGTAAAGTTTTTATTTTTCATTTTTATTTATTTTATTTCATCAGATGGTCCTATATTTTTTGGCATTTTCGTTCTTCATATTATGTTAATTTTTTATATATATAATACTTATGTTTTCTTTCTTTTAAGGAATCGCGTGGCATGATGGATAATAATGTGAATGTTGATGATGGTCAGTGCAAGGAGTTTCACACTGATATGTTTCAAAGAGGTGCACAGGTTCATGTTAATCAAATCCATATTATCGACTGTGATCATGGTTCTAAGGCACGTTATATAGTTTATTGCTTTCAGTTAATACTTCTATTTTTTAAGGCATGTTACAGTCTATAAATTTTTAATTTTTTTTTTCAGATTGGTGAACAGGATAAATTTTTTGATTCAAATTGTGACAAAGTTATTATCTCTCAATCTCCTGAAGTTGATGTTCAAGATTCTGATGAGGAGGATGTTGTTTTCAGTGACAAGGTTTATTTAATCTATGTTTCTTTTGGGTTTTTTTATGTTATTTTTAATGTTATACCTTCTTTTCAAAAAATTATTCATTTTACTGATCTTAATGTTACTGATTATGATATGCTTCAGGTTTGTGATATACCTTCTCTTTAATGTTATACTTTCTTTTTAAAGTAACACTTGCTTAATAATCTTTATTTTCAATTTTTGATTTTCACAACAACAGGGTCAAAGTTCTGCTGATGTTTTAACTTCTGAAACTAATTTGGTTGAAGAGGCAAATCTTGATAAGGCATGTTATTCAATTAACCTTATTCTTATGTTTTCTTTATAATGTTCCAGATGCTGAAGAGAGGTTGTTGTGTTAAATATTGATCAAGTAGTTAATGTTCATAAGGATTTTTTTTTTTTTTTTTCCATTTCTTTTAAGTAGATTAGTAGTAACTAATTCCTACTTAATTATCTTTTTTTCATTTTTATATTTTCAACAATAGGGTCAAGGTTCGGACGATCTTACAACTTCTGAAAAAAATGTGGTGGAAGAGGCAAATGTTGTTAAGGTGATTTATTCAATTATCCTAATTCTTATTTTTTTTTTCCATTTAAAATGTTAATCTTTTCTTTAGATACTAATTTCTTTATTCTCTTAATAATAGGCTCAAGGCACTGCTGATGATCCAATGTCTGAAAATAATGTGGTGGAAAATGCAAATGTTGATAAGGCGAGTTACTCCGTTATCTTATTTCTTATGTTCTTTTTTATTTAAAAAGTTAATCTTTTCATTACATTCTAAGTTTTTTTTCCATTTGAATTTATACTTTAAATATCAGAAAGTAGAAGGTATACGAAAAAAAAAAGTTCGCTTTAGGGATTTACCTGCTGTTGATGTTGATTTATTTCACAAGGTCAGTTATTTTGTTGTTTGTTTTATGGTTTATTTTTGTTTGAAATGTCTGAAAGTAATGTGGTAGAAGATGCAAATGTTGATAAGGCGAGTAATCAATTAACCTGAATCTTATGTTCTTTTTATTTAAACTGTTAATCTTTTCATTACATACTAATTATTATTTTCATGGAAATTTATAATATATATCAGAAAGTAGAAAGTAGTCGAAAAAAAAAAGTTCGCTTTAGGGATTTACCTGCTGATGATGTTGATTTCGTTCACAAGGTCAGTTATTTTTTGTTTGTTTTTTGTTTATTTTTTTTCCATTTCGATATTTTTTTTGTCCTTCATTTGTTTAAAAATAATTATTTATTTTAACTTTTTTTTTCAAATCAATTGTTTATAGGATATCTCTGAAAGTAATGTTGAGGTTGTTCCACTTCGGTTGGTTATTGTTTTTTTTTAGCTTATTTGATTCTTTTATTATTTACTTTAATTTCTAAAGGTTTTTGTATATGTTTTCCCCAATCGTATGTATATATTTTTTTTTTATAGGGTATTGATTTTCACTTGAATAAGTCTGCTGATCCTAAATGTTGTTCTCCAATTTTTAATGGAGATCAAACATTGGAAGACTTTGAAATTACACCTGAGATCTTTGATGAATGCCAGAAGTTGGCTGATGAGAGTATTCGTAAACGAAATTCATCAACCGAATATAAGGTTATCAAGATCGCTTATTTAAATTAACTGTATTGTTTTTTTTATATATATATATTTTTTTTAATTGTATTATTATGTAGGCCAAGATGAATGTTTCCAAACAGATTATCCCACGTAAATTGGGGTGGAATCTTACCTACCCACCCAATCTTCATGACAACGATTATGATATGTCTACTCCAAATTTTGATGCCATAACTGCGGATTTACATTTGACTCATCCACATTTGAAACCATTATCTGACAAAAAAAACGTCCCAAAGGTTTCTGATGGCGCTGTTGTGTCTATTACCAATTTCCATGGAGATTGTTCTAAGGGCAATGCTAATGTTCCTATGGATTGTATTGATCAGCAACAAGTATGTTGTTTTTTAATTTTTTTCATTGTTTTAAATCATAAAATTTTTCTATATTATTTAAATGCAACCTTCAGTTATCAAATTCTTTTTCAATATATTTGTTTCATATGATGTTACAAGGTCAGCAGACTGGTCAACATTTAGATGAATTGGTGGTTCAGGACCCTATAGAAAAAACAAATCTAAGGTATTATCTATATCAAAAAATTGTTATTATTTTCTAAATGTTTCATGTTTATTTCAATTCCATTTTAAGTTTTTTATCATCTAATTCTTTTTTTAATATATTTCAGAAAATCCTCAATCCTTATGCTCCTGCTTTGGTGAAACCTCTGAAAAAAGTAATGTTTATTTTTTAAATTATTAATTTTTTAATTATATTTTTCCATTTAGCTTTTTTTTTTTTAATTCTATTTTTATTTATTATTTAATTGTTTTTTAATTGTTTATCTTTTCTACTTTATACTATTTTGTGTTAGGCTGCTCCTTCCTCATCCAAGAGGACAACCCGTAGTTCGGCCACAGAAACGTGCAACTTGAATAATTATAATAAAAATCCTTGTGGTGCTCCTTCTAAACTGCCTAAGCCATTTGATGGTGAAAAGAGAGTCATCCATGGTTCTTTTCCGTTTGATCAATTATTTTGGAGTGGATATAATCCAATTACTGAAGGCTTTCAAAAATGGTTAACGACGGGTTTATTTGATAGCCCGAAGCAAACTGAATCTGGGTAATTTCCTATACTGCTTTTTTTTTTATTAATGTTATTAATATTTTTTTAGTACATTATTTTTTTATAAAAATTTTTTTTTCATAATTTTGTCTTTTCAGCTTGGTATACTACAAGAAGCAGTCTTCACAAGTGAAGAATGGGTTTGATTTCAACGTAGCCAAAATTTATGAAAAATCATGGTTCCTTGTTCTTGATGAGTGCCATAAATTCTTGGATTCTACGGTATGTGAATCATGTTTTTAATATATATTGTTTTTTCTTTCATATGTTTTATCTGTTGTACATTGGTGTGATTTTATATCAATTTAATTCTTAATTTCAAATTATTTCTCTGCACTATGATGTTTTCCTATGATTAATTATTGGTTTTTTTGTTGTTTTTTTGGTTTCCTTTTTTAAAAAAAAAAAAAAACAGCACGTTGACGTCTTTTTCTATTACTTGCGAAAGATGGCTTTTCATTCACTGCCTTGTGTCGTTGAGAGTGTCACTACCTCAGATCTTATTTTCCATCAAAGGATGAAGAATACTTATGATAAATACTGTTCCTCCAAGAATCATCAAGGTGTTTTCCATTCTGACAATGATATTCTGGATTATATGTCGGGGTATAAAATTATATGTGGGAGGAGTTGGACATCGGTAGATCATGTGTTGATGCCTATTCATACTGAGATTGGTGGTTGGGGACATTGGATTCTTAGAAGATTTTCTGTTAAAGAGAGGGTTCTATTCATTTACAATTGTATAAGGTCTCCACAGATTGATGCTGATATTCTTAAGGATGTAGAGTGCTATTCTGTGTTGCTTCCTACATTTCTTTATTTTCTTGGACTTCATTACAAAAGGGAGAAGCTCTTTACTGGTGATGGGAAATATGTGGGAAAACAACGAACGGACCCGCTTCAGGTTGTTTTTGTTGATAACCTTCCTCCTCAGGAACATGGGTACGTCCTTTATTTTTATGTTAAATTTTGTTGTTTTACATGTTATTTTCATGCTTTTTTAATGTTTATTTTTTTAATTTTTTTATCTGCTATGCAATATTTTTATATATTTTTTAAAATGATATTTTTTTTTTGTTTAACAGTGATTGTGGTGTTTTTATGGTTGCGTTTGCTGAGGTCTTTATGAGAGGAAAGAAGATCCCTTCCTCTATCGATGCTGAGTTCCTTCGTAATCGTTATGCTTATTTACTTTATGAGCATGGATGCAAGAAGCTGGCTGAAGGTTATGAAAGTCAGGATCAATCTCCTGGAGTTATGCCTCAAGATCTTAGGAAGGAGGTTCATGGTTGTTGGCAGAATTTGTAGTTTTTTTAAAAAAAATGATGTTTTCAAACACATCAGGTCTTTAATGTTTTGTTGCAGAATTTGGTTCATCATTTTGCATCATGTCTGATGTTACTTTTGTTAGTATTTGGTGTTTCTTTTTATTGTTCAACTTTTGAATCCAGGTTCATTTTTTTTTTTTATCAATTAGTTTGTTGATGTATTGAAATTGGATATTTATTTTTTTAGTAACATTCTCATGTTTATTTTATTTTAATTTTGTAATTATTTATTTATTTCTTATTTTTTCTTTATTTAAGTTAGACTCAATGTCTTTGGGTTATGCCTCTAGATGATAGGAATGGTGTTCATAGATGTTGGTTTAATATTTACTTCTGAACAATTAATGGATGTTTTCAAACACATCTACTCTTTTATGTTTATTTGTAATATTTTTTCGAATTTTTTTCATATGTTTGTTTTTTTATTCTTAATAATTGGTCTACCGTTTTTTTATTAGAATAATGATTTATGTATCACTTGTTGTCTTGTTTTTTAAAAAAATTATTTGTTGTTTGTATGGAAATTGGATAATGACTTTTTAAGTTTTTTTTATTGTTGTTGCTATTTTTTAGAAATTTAACTTATTGTTCATTTTGTCTTGTATTTTGGACTATGTTATATATTTTCTTCCTTTCGTTCAATCATCAGTTCTATTAAATATTATTAGTTCTTATCAACCTGAAATTAAATATATTAATAAGGACAACTATTAAGGTTCATAAAAACATTAATAACACATAATCATTATTCAATAATATTACAACTTCAACAAACATACTGGTTATGAATTTCAAAAAATTAACTTCTTCCTCCCATGCTCTCATGCTGATTTGATCCTTTTCTTTCGTTTCCTTCCTGCAACAGATTTTCCTTTTGGAGGTATTATAGATTTCTCATCTTTACTATAATAAGACTCACTATGAAAGTCAAAATCAATTGGCAATACACATGTTTCATATGTAGCCAATAAAGTGCTATTGTAGTAAAAATGAGAACAATAGTCCTCAGGCTCTTCTTGTCTCTCTCTAATCACACTTACTGCATGTGAACATGGCAATTCGTCCATTTGGAATCTATTGCATGTGCACGATCTTTCTTTTAGGTTCACAATGAAATTTTGAATTCCATGCTTCACTTTGAATATTTCATCACTTGCTTGATGTACCTGTATATTTTATTTTTTCAAAATATTATTTTCCAAAACAATATTCTACAAAATTAATATAAATATTTTTTTCAAAGCATACTTACTGTGATTCTGTGAACCTCATAGACTCTTGATAATTTTCTTCCAGCATTTTTTGGCCAACTTTGCAAGCTTCGTAAAAGTGCATTCAGCTTCTTTGCGATTCCTCAAATTCCATTTTTGTTGCATTCCACGTACGCTATCCAAGAAAACTGTTATTGGAAGATCTCGTGCAGCCTTCAAAGCGGAATTTATTGACTCGGCAACATTAGATGTCATCACTAGAAATCTATTTGACTTGCAATGGATTCGAGACCATTTTTCAAATCCAATTTTTGTCAAATATGTCACTGCTCCTTTGTTTGCTTTATACATAATTTCCATGTGATGATTGAAATCATCCAATGTGTATGCATATGCTGCTCCAAAAAATGCTCCTTTTACTGCTTCGAGGTTCACTTTGTAGTTTGATATTATGTTCCGAGACAAGTGATATGCACAACAGCAATGAGTAGCCTCTGGAAATACCTGTTTGATATAAAAATACAAATTACTTCATTAATAATAAATCAATATTTTCCATATATTACATTTTCTTTTTGGTTTCTTTTCAGTTTCTTTATTATTTCTTCTATGTTGTTTCAAAATCGTTTTCCCAATTAAATTATACAAATAACTTAAATTATTGAAAATACATATACACTTTATTACCTTTGCAGCTGCGTTCCGGATGCTTTTGTGTCTATCAGATACAATGCACAACTCTTTTCGTTCCGACAGTGTTTTCTTTAATAATGAAAAGAACCATTCATATGCATTGTTATTCTCAGAATCAACTACTCCATATGCAAGGGGGAGAATGTGACATGCTGCATCTTGTGTGCTTGCAGTTATTAGTGTACCTCCGTACGTGGCTTTCAGAAATGTACCATCGACAATTATAATTGATCGACAATGATCCCATCCTTTTATAGAAGCCTCTTCTGATATGAACACTGTAACGCCCAGTTCGATTTATAGAATTTTTAGGATTATTCTATTTATCGAATCT